CATCATGCTCATGTACACAGAGATCTATATCCTCCTCCAGTATTTATACCAGATTATAATCCAGCACTGTGGGTTGAGCATCGACGCGCCTCTTCTCCATGAACTGGGATTCCCGACGCAGAGAATCAAATCGTCGTTTGTGGTCAGCTCGTTACCTCTCTTCCTTATCTACATATTCACTCTCATACAGAGTACTATAACAGTGAAAGATGGGGATTGGGTTCCTTCTGCTGATTTTACTTCGCGGCGGAATGCCCGCGGGAGCCAGAAGGAGCTTACAAGAATTAGCTGGAGCCAGAGAATCTTGGATGTGTTCAAGAAGCTGAGAGATAGCGCGAAACTGGTGATGAGAAGCATCTGCCGGTACTGGATCTCTCTGACGCGTGGAGCAGAGTCCCCTCCTTACTTTGTTCAGGTGACGATGGATGTTCACATGTGGCCCGAAGATGGAATCCAGCCTGAAAGAGTTGAATGCAGAATGAACCAGTTGTTAAGGCTTGTCCACAACGAGAGATGCGAGAAAGGAAACCCTGATATCTGCCCTTACTCTAGCAGGGTTCACGTACAAAGTATAGAGAGAAGTACAGAGACCCCAAACGAGGCCTTGGTCGTTCTGGAGGTTGAGTATGCTTCTCCTCCCACGAATGGGTGTTCTTCAGCAGAATGGTACAAATCACTTACCCCAGCCTCGGATGTGGCGATAGAGATCCGTAAAGCTCAACATAGTGGACTTGTGGAAGGAACTGGGTTCCCGTACCCAATCCTCTCTGTGATTGGCGGAGGAAAGAGAGAAACAGACCTCTATGCCTACATATTTGGTGCTGATTTGATGGTCTTCTTTCTGGTTGCCGTTTTCTACCAATCAGTCATTAAAAACAAAAGCGAGTTTATCGATGTATATCAGCTAGAGGACCAGTTCCCATTTGACTTTGTCATTATTCTAATGGTAATTCCAATTTTCTACAAGGCTCGAGAGTGCGTAACTTGTACCCCACATGAAACGGTTTTTTTTTGTTTGTGTGTGTGTGTGTGTGGCAGGTTATCTTCTTCCTGATTGTTGTTGATCGCGTCATATATCTTTGCTCATTTGCGACTGGAAAAGTGGTGTACTACCTCTTCAGTCTTATTCTCTTCACATATGCAGTGACAGAGTTCGCTTGGAGCATATATCCTACCCAGCAACACGCAGCTGGCTTGGCTCTCAGACTCATATTTCTTGCCAAAGCAATGTCACTCGCTCTGCAGGCCATTCAAATCCGCTACGGACTACCCCATAAAAGCACCTTGTACCGGCAGTTTTTGACAAGTGAAGTTTCACGGATCAATTACTACGGCTACAGGCTTTACCGTGCTCTTCCTTTCCTGTATGAGCTGAGATGTGTACTTGACTGGTCCTGCACAGCCACATCACTGACAATGTATGACTGGCTCAAGGTATGTGGTTTCATCCCATGCTGTTACTATGATCATTCTTGTTTAGTCTGCCAAGGATTTAACGTGTCTTCTTTTGCAGTTGGAAGATGTGAACGCGAGTTTGTACCTTGTCAAATGCGATACGGTTTTAAATCGAGCAACACACAAACATGGGGAGAGGCAAACAAAAATGACAAAATGCTGCAACGGGATATGTCTCTTCTTCATCTTGTTATGCGTTATATGGGCTCCTATGCTGGTAAAAGATCACATTCTATCAAATGCTCTCGTAGAAAGAAAAAAAAAAAACAACAATTGATGTCTTACAATTTGCAGATGTATAGCAGTGGTAACCCAACAAACATTGCGAACCCGATAAAAGATGCGAGCGTTCAGATTGATATAAAAGCAGTTGGTGGGAAGCTTACGTTGTACCAAACAACCCTGTGCGAGAGAATCTCAGGGGATAACATTGATCTCGGGCTAGATATCGGGTCCCAAAGCTTCTTGCCCACATACAACAAAAATGACATCCAGCTGATTTGCTGCCAAGCTGATGCAAGCGTATTATGGCTTGTCCCTGACACAGTTGTGGCCAGATTCATTCAATCCCTTGACTGGGATACAGAGATGGACATCATCTTTTCTTGGGTTCTTAACAGAGACCGACCCAAAGGCAAGGAGACCGTCAAGTATGAAAGAAGTGTGGACCCTGAGGACCTTCCAAAACGCTCCGATGTCCAAATGGTTCTCAACGGCTCTATGGATGGGTTTCGAGTGCATAACTTGTACCCTAAGTTTTTCCGAGTTACTGGGTCTGGTGATGTCAGGTCTTTCGAGGACCAGGTAGATATTTTTGTTTTGGCACAAGATTCTAAGAGTTAATATTTTGGTGGTTGTTGATACAAAAAGTGTTGTTGGTACAGAAAGATGAAGTGAGTGCGGACATACTCATGAACCATGCAGATTCCAAGTGGTGGTGGTCATTCCATAATCTGAAAGCGTCTGAAAATATCAGCGCTTGCGAGGGTATGGATGGACCAGTTGCTATCATAATGTCTGAGGAAACACCCCCACGTACGTTTGCTCAAACAATCTTTGATGTTATTGTATACTATAAAACACAAGTACCTAACCTGTCAAATATAATTGTACAGAGGGGTTTCTGGGTGACACGCTCAGCAAATTCAGTATATGGGGACTCTATATTACATTTGTACTAGCAGTGGGGCGTTTCATCAGGCTTCAATGCTCTGACCTGCGTATGAGAATACCTTACGAGAACCTGCCTTCGTGTGACAGGTAACATCATCCCCTGTGTTGCTTTGCTTTCTCACAATGCTCATCGTTGTGTGTTGTTGAATGTAGGTTAATAGCAATATGTGAGGACTTGTACGCGGCGAGAGCAGAGGGTGAGCTTGGAGTCGAAGAAGTTCTATACTGGACGCTTGTGAAGATATATAGATCCCCACACATGCTCCTTGAGTATACAAAGCTAGACTATGATGCTTAGATCCAACTTTGTCAATGTTTGTACATACACTGAGTGATTTATACACATAGGCCACACAATTCTGAGGTTCCCTTTCTTTTTTTATCTTGTAGTTGATTTTTCATTTATAACCAAAAGGAGCGATTCATGCATGAAAAAAGAGAAGAAAACGTCTTTCTTCTTTGCTAGATTATATATAAGATTTAGTCAGGGCCTAGAGATGATGGGCTCAGAAAGCATATTCCAAAGTCATAAAGCCTAAATAAAAAACTAAACCAGCTAACAGCCCAGGAGACACCTGAGCATTCCAAGAACAACTTCAACAGCATAAAGGAGGACTTTATTTAGCTTGGAGTTTCTGCAAGCGCTTCGTAGCTCTCAATTGCTAGTCCTTGGATCGCTTGGGGGTCCTCTCAGATATACCACAAGGGACAGTGTCTTCCATCACCTTAGGGACTGTGAAATTAAAATCTCCAAGCGGTGCATTCTTGTAATCCTGATTGGCATCGATGAAGGCTGCAATTTCATTGCGAGTCCTCAGCTTCTTCCCAGTAGGAGTGATGTAGTAGGCATCCATTTTCGAGTAGTCCTTTCTCAGAACTAAGCTCCTCTTGAACCCTCTTGGTGTCCTCGGCAAACCAGGCTTGTCGATGACCCATGTTCTTGTCGAATCATATTCCAGGTCTCCAGCATCTCCACACGACATACTTTCTTTCTTCTCGCACACAAAGGGTTCCTCTTGTATTTTACTTCGGATCTCCTCATACAGTTCTTGAGTTTCAATCTTTCTCCACTTGAGGCACTTTTCACACTGTGCAGCATAGATATCTATCGACCTCCCTGGAGTAACGCCTTTTTTCTGCACAACACATATATGGAATGTCAGGTTAAAACAAGATCCGTCACAAGCTCCGTTTAATCTTTGGCAAGAGGAGAAAACATGCCTACAGAAGACAAAGTGTAGCGCATAAATAGATACGACGCTTGAGAAGCTTAGAGAGAATCACTCCCCAAAGATAAAGATGGTTTGACGCCAACTTATCCGGGTATAAAAACCGAGTAATATAAACTAAAAAGAGTGTACATTAATCGGCTGACTAAGCTTCCATGGCCGCAGAGTCAAGTATACCTAAACGGGACACGACCGAAAAAGAAAGATACTTAAAACAGAAGCGGAGCATAATTGTTAGCTTATAAGTAGCTTGTATTGAATGGGCATTAAGAAGGTGAAGTCATTAAACAACAAGTAAGTATTCTATATACACAAATGTACATACATAACATAGTCAGTCTCACCAATACTTGTCCAGATACGATAAAATCCAGTCATATAAACCACAAACACACATGTGGATCCAAAACACGACAATTTCAATTTCGAAATAAGGACAAATTGATCATGTTCCAAGGACAAGATTAGATGATGAGATGTGAAAATACTAAAGCATTAATGATCTCAGATGCAAATCAAAAATCAATGTGCAATAAAGAGTAAAAAGTAAAGAGTAAAGAGGAGGTTGGGAACCGTTGGCGCTGATTTAACGCTCTGCTCGTCCATCACACTTGCCTATGACGAAGTGGAAGCAGATCCGATGGATCTTTCTTTCGGTATCTGCAGCTTCAAAAGAAGACGATGCGTTTTTGCGTTTTCCCAACCACAAACAAGTAATATAATAATAATAATGCCCTCCTCACAGTCACAGTCACAGTCACAGAGGTTGTTACTGGATCGTGTTTAAATTTCCTTTGGGCCGGAAAAAAGTCACGGCCCAACAAACAAATGTTTCTATCACTATATCCATTACCGAACCGAAAAGAGGGAATCAAGAAATTCAGCAGGATTCGTGTGCTATTGCTCACACAAAACGTCGAGGGAGTAATGCCGTTTTTGGGAGGATGGAAACAGCACGCAGTTTTGGCACCTTTTGTGTTAACTTATAACAACGTCCAGCTAAGAGATTAGACTTTAAACTTGTTTGTTCCTTTTTTGGATATATAAAGTATATACAAAACAAACAATCAACATTTCACCTAACTCTCTATTCCATTCTTGTTCTTTTCTTTTTGACTTTTTTTTCCCATTCAATTATTTAATCTTACCATTTTTACTAGGAGTACTAGTACTATTTAATTTATCCTCATAATTTTGGGAGTTGTTAGTTTCCTTCTCGCTAATGAATTCTACCAAATGATTGGCGTGCATTTAATAGACACACATAACATAAAATATAAAGAGGAGGGATGATGATGATGATGATGGTACATTTAATAGACCAAGGGATCATCAGTTGAAATCCCCACGTAACTTGAGATTCCAAGCCTCGATGTTGAACCTCCTTACTTTCCTCCGCCGCCGCCTCCGCCGTCCCCGGAAGGCCAGAATCTCCGTTGGTGAGTCCGCTCCAAGCTCCAACGGGTTTTCTTCGGGCGCCGCCATTCACCCGAACCCGGAGAAAGCCATCCGAGTGGCCACTTTCAACGCGGCTATGTTCTCCATGGCCCCCGCCGTCCCCAACCGAGATTTTTCGGGTTTGCCACTCCGCTCCATGTCAACCGTTGACCGTCCCAGGAGCATACTGAAGCAGTCTCCGCTTCACCCCTTGAACGCCACCAAACAACAGAGGTTCGCCAAATCCAGGCTAAGGGTCTCCATCAACCTCCCCGACAACGAGATTAGCCGCCAGCTCAGTTTCCGCGAGGATCCTCACCACTCGCCGCTCCGGCCAGCTTCTCTGTCTTTCTCCGGCGAGATCGGCGGCCTCCGGAGCACGAGAACGGTCCTCGAAGTGCTGAGGGAGCTTGACGCAGACGTCCTCGCTCTTCAGGATGTGAAGGCCGACGAGGCCGACCAAATGCGACCTCTCTCCGATCTTGCGGCTGCCCTCGGCATGAATTACGTCTTCGCCGAGAGCTGGGCGCCGGAGTACGGCAACGCCGTTCTTTCTAAGTGGCCCATCAAAAAGTCCAATGTGCACAAGATCTTCGACCACAGTGATTTCAGGTTAGTCTCTGGTTAAGACTCAAGACTACTCTGTTTTCACTTCTTTTTAAGCATTATTAGTTAGTAGATTATAATTTGTTTCAATACTAGTGCAAATTATCTGGTTCAATGATCTCTCCTATTCGCTATAATAATAATAAATAATGGAATTGGTGCGGCGACTTTGTACCAATGAGAGAACCACCTAGTCATGGTCTTCTCGTGAGGAGTACATACAAACACAAATGCACACTTGAGTTTTCCTGTGAACATCTCAGAGAACAGCTGTATATTCTCAAGGACAGCTTCAAATGTCAATATGCTTTTGTCTGAATAAATATATGTCCCCGTTCTTTGTTTCGGGAAAATCTTCTTTTTTTTTTTTGCTTGTGCTACCAAATTCACAATAAATTAATCTGGTGGCAGACAGAGGGATAAAAAGGTGATGGTATTAAATTTAATACTACTATTATTGTCCCGTGTAGAATAGTTCTATTATTGTAAGCATGTAAAATGAAAAAGAAGCGGAGCCTGTAGTCGGTTTTTGATTGCTACAGACTACATTAATTGGCTGTTGGGGTTTAAGTTAGAAATGTGGTGATGATAATTAGATGCGGAAGTCATAATTGTATAAATATGGTGTGAAAGGAATGTGCTGAAGGCGACCATAGATGTTCCGGGGAGCGGGGAAGTGGAATTTCACTGCACTCATCTGGATCACTTGGACGAGAGCTGGAGAATGAAGCAAGTTGATGCTATTATCCAATCTACCAACGTACCTCACATACTCGCTGGCGCTCTCAATTCCCTCGACGAATCCGATTACTCTCCCCACAGATGGACCGACATCGTCAAGGTAATTAACCACATTAATTATATTAGAAACACGACAATGCATGTAAATAGATGATGCGATTAATCAATCTACGTATATATAGTATTACGAAGAGATGGGTAAGCCAATACCCAAAGCCCAAGTGATGAGGTTCTTAAAGAGCAAAGATTACACTGACGCTAAAGAATTTGCTGGAGAATGCGAATCTGTGGTAGTGGTCGCCAAAGGCCAGAGTAAGCTACACTATAGTAATAGTATTATATATATATCAGACGGACGCTAGCTGTTATTTCCATTAAATGCTAAAGAAACGTCGTACGTATATATAACATGCAGGCGTACAAGGGACATGCAAGTACGGGACACGCGTGGACTACATACTGGCTTCCTCGGATTCGCCGTACCGGTTCGTGCCGGGGTCGTATTCGGTGCTCTCCTCTAAGGGAACATCGGATCACCACATAGTGAAGGTCGATGTTGTGAGAGCCAGACCAATCAACGTCGACGAGCACCGGCCAACAAGACAGACGCAGCAGAGAGCTGCTACAACGACTATATATAATAACTCGTCTCTCACAAAGGCCTCGTGGAGGACGCATTACTACAAAGCGTGAACCATCTAGATACATACGTAACTAGACATATTTATATACTATTACGAAAGTACTGTTACAGGTTTTTTCGACTGTTAATTAACAACATTCGAGATATGTGTATAACCGTGGAGGTCTCTGTCTTGTGTGCGTTTTTAGCCTTGAGTTCCCCAATTTTTTGTTGTTCTGCTTTTGATGGTAAGACGTTGTTGGGGCTTGTTTAACCGGAGATGTATAAATAAATTCTCATTTAGCTTAATTATCCCGACAAGGACGTTAAAACAAATAGTCCAAGTTGGATAAGCTCTGACTTTGAAGCTAAAGTCTCCTTAGCCATAACTATGACTCGGGTTTCTATACGACCTCGAGCAAAGATACCTTCATTTCCAAGCTATACTAATTCTAACATTGTTCCTCTTTCTTTCTTTTTTTTAGCTTAATATCGTCAAATCACGGAAAATTACATATTTTTCATAACACTTTATTCTCCATAGAAATTTGATATAGGAAAGCAATATTCAACGGTGTACCTTCATACTAGTAATTAAAGCGTAAAAACAATTAATTGGTTACAGAAATCTTGGGCAAAACTTTGGGCAACAAAAATCGTCAGATTATGTCCATGGCCCGTTTTGATTATGGTTGATCCAATGGAAACTGTTTCTCATTACCACCGGACTATTGGGCTTTGTAACATTATAAAGGGCCTTAAATATATATATGGGTATCACACACATTTGGGCTAGTTTCAATTTGTTTGTTAATAAGAGATTTTAGTTTCCCTTTCAGAGTAGTCATTGCTTAAACCCTAAACCAGCCAGCCTCCCTTCCTTTCTGCTACTCTCTCGGCTGCAATGGAGGAAGAGCTTCGTGTTCGACTCAATGATCATCAAGTATCCAAGATTTTCCCCGTCAAGCCAAAATCAACGGCGAAATCTGTTGCTAATCCGGAGACTCCTGATTCCCGATACTGGTCCTCCTTCAAACCTCACTCCTTACCTAATCTCGTCTCCTCCGTCTCCGCCTTGGCTTTCTCTCCAGTCCACCCTCACTCCTTCGCCGTTGCTCACTCCACCACCGTCTCACTCTTTTCCTCGCAGACGCTTTCCGCCTCCCGCCGTTTCTCCTTCCGGGATGTTGTCTCCTCCGTGTGTTTCCGTTCCGACGGCGCTCTCCTCGCCGCATCCGATCTCTCCGGGCTTATCCAGGTCTTCGACGTCAAGCAACGAATGGCTCTCCGTAGGCTCCACTCACACAAGGCACCGGCGCGATTCGTCAAGTATCCATTTCAGGACAGGCTTCACTTGGTATCCGGAGGGGACGACGGAGTGGTAAAGTACTGGGATGTCGCCGGAGCAACCGTCATCTCAGATCTGTTAGGGCACAAGGACTATGTGCGCTGCGGTGACTGCTCTCCGGTGAACGATTCGATGTTGATAACAGGCTCTTACGATCACACAGTAAAGGTGTGGGACACGAGGGTGGACAAGTCGAAATGGGTGGCTGAGATCAACCACGGAAATCCAGTGGAGGACGTGGTGTACCTGCCGTCGGGTGGAATGATCGCCACGGCCGGTCTGAACAGCGTCAAGGTCTGGGACTTGATCGGAGGCGGGAAGATGGTTTGTTCCATGGAGAGCCACAACAAGACTGTCACGTCTCTCTGCGTTGGGAGAATGGGATTGGATGATGCAGCCGAGAATCGACTAGTGAGCGTCGCTTTAGACGGATACATGAAGGTGTTTGATTACGGGAGAGCAAAGGTGACTTTCTCCATGAGGTTTCCAGCTCCTCTCATGTCCGTCGGCCTCTCCCCGGATTGCTCCACTCGTGTCATCGGAGCGTCTAACGGTATGGTGTTTGCCGGGAAGAAGAAGCTGAAAGATGCGGGGGAGATGAAGAAGAACAGTGTGAGCCTGTGGAGTGTCCAGAGCGAAGTGGAGGAGAATAGGAGAAGGGCTTTGAGGCCGACGTATTTCAGGTATTTCCAGAGAGGGCAGAGCGAGAAGCCATCGAAAGAGGATTACTTGGTGAAGGAGAAGAAAGGGGTGAAGCTGACAAGGCACGACAAGCTGCTGAAGAAGTTCAGACATAAGGAGGCTCTGGTCTCGGTTTTGGAGGAGAAGAAACCGGCGAATGTGGTGGCGGTGATGGAGGAGTTGGTGGCGAGGAGGAAGCTGTTGAAGTGCGTGTCGAATATGGAGGAAGGAGAGTTGGGATTGCTGCTGGGTTTCTTACAGAGGTACTGTACCGTGCAGAGGTATTCAGGATTGCTGATGGGGTTGACGAAGAAGGTGTTGGAGAGGAGAGGCGAGGATATTAAGGGTAAAGACGAGTTTAAAGCGCTTCTCAGGAACTTGAAGAGGGAGGTTAATCAGGAGATCAAGATTCAGCAGTCTCTCCTGGAGATTCAGGGTGTTATTGCTCCTTTGATGAGAATTGCTGGGAGAAGATGAATCCAAGTTTTGTTTTTTTGTTTAACGCTTTTTGATCGTTTTTCATTGTTATAGATTACATACATTTCATGGGAATGTAGTGTAAACTTGAATGTACTAAGATTTATGGATTTATAATATAACGAAGAGCAAGTTTTGTTTAATTCCCACATTTGTATCAAAAGAGAAGAACACTAGAAACACATCAACTACGTCCCATCAACATATATAAACTTTCTAAATATTGTTACCACTTTTTAATTAAAACAAACACACTCTCAAGGTAGGTCAACGTCCCTTGGACCGTTCCCCTCTTAGCGCTCTCCGTCTTGCAGCCGACCTGATCGTCTCGATAAGAGGAGCGTCCTCGTCTACAAAATCTCCCTTATCTTCTCTGTCCGAGCCGCCACTGATGGATTCATCCTCATCGCTTCCGCTTTGCTCACCAAAAAGTCTCTTACGCTCTGTCTCAGGACGTTTTCTTGGCCGTCCCCTGCGTCTTGCAGCTACTGCTTCCTTGTCGTCTGTGACAATTGAGAAATCCCAAAACAGATGATGATGCCTCGTCATAACAATCCATTCCACATTCATTGTTTGCAATCAATAACATACCTTGTAAGTCCTCGCTTTTCAAGCATTTCTCCTCCAAGGTTTCTAAGAAGGTGAAGCAAGGACGCCACCCGCTGGGGTCTTCATCTGTATTGACATGCACTATACGCCCCTGAACCCCCCGTTTACTGCTCAACAACCAAACAAGAGGTTATTATTCTATTAGCAGAGACTTGCTCAGAGACTTTGTCACTCTTACATGTCCATTATGTCCGGCCCTGAGAGTCTCGTTGCAAATGGAAGGATAGCAACTTCCAGAAACAACAGTTGCTTTGGGGCGTCCCTAAACGCAAACTCAACACCTTCCTTTACCACGCTCAAAATCTCCAGTCTGTGTTTGTTGCGGGCAGCACCAATATACATTCCTGAAAGCCGACCAGCAAGCTCCCGGCACTCTTCAAGACATCTATCCACTCTGGATTCTCCATCGTCACCAGAAACTTCACTTGCATACCGTTGATACCCCTGCCCAGTTATTTAGTCTCAGCAAACAATACTTTGTATCTTCTCAAAATAAGCGTCCACCATTTCATAATCTGCAAAAAAACTTACCCGTTTCAAGGATTCCAGATAGATATCAGAGATGTCATCTTCTGTTTTCCTTAAGCATGTTATAAGATTCTTTACGATTTCCGTAACACTAGGTCCATGCATAACAAGATGAGATATTATCTCTGGTCCCAGATAATCCTGCGATAGAACCAAATCAATAACTTTTGTTTAGAAACTTGATCATCTATCACTGCATGGCTGATGATTTACAACTGTGATATTTAAAGCAACACTAATGCACTTGGTGAATACCTTCGGCACTACACCACTAATAACCAACTTGCAGGCAGCAATGACTGCAACATCTCTGTTTGTCTCTTCAACATACTCCTTATTTTCACCCTCCTCATCAGTCTCATCTGTGTAAAAGTCCAGCAAAAGTACATACGTAATCGGGAAATCAAGAAATGATAGGCTTTCGTATAAAAGCAAATAACAGTCACCTGAGGTGGAAAATATTTCTTCACAGAATTTCCAAAACTTCTTGAGCACAACACTGTCTGGGCAATATCCTAACATTTCAAGTTTACTGGAGTCAAAATTTGACTTTCTAAAAAGACACCACTCTTCTGCAAGTAGAGCACAAATCTGCAGCAGTGAAGTTTTCATTCGTTAGGCGAAAAGTGACTCAGATAACACAAGCACATACACTGAAGGAAATGTGTCTGTTAAACTGAAATGTCAGATAGTCTTACCCTGAGAGCTAGCTGATTGCCATATTTCCTCGATTCCTCAACTCCATTCAGGAAGTACAAAAGCTCCTTATACAGGATATCGCGCTTTGATATAAGGGAAGATATGGAAGCTTCGGAGACAGTTTCACTATTTGTGATAGAGTGCAGAGACCACGCCACATAGACATGCATATTCAGAAGCAGGAAACAGACAACCTAAGCAACCATGAGCAACTGCACCATTAAGATGTGAGGAACAAACAAAAAGAGATAGTAAGAGCTCTTAACAAATTTCCTTGAGCACCTCTTCGTCCAAATTTCTGAAATTATGGAGCGTCGAAGCTAGCTCATCATACATGCTCTCAACAAGTACAGGCTTTGACAATTGAAGCTCATACAACCTTTTCAGATTTACAAGGAGGGAGTATTCATCATTTCCATCCTGCACAGAAAACTGATGTAAGATTGCATCCGTAAGGAAGAGTTTGAAGATAATTGGCAAAGGAAGTAGAGCATACCTTGACTTCTTTAATTGCAGAAGTAAGTTTATCTAAAAGCTTATCTTCAAGATCCTTGAGCTTCGCACGCGAAAAATCTTGAAGCTCCCCTTTACTTTCAGACGCACAAAATGTTATAGCCTTAATGCAAGATCTCAGTGCATCCTTCTCCCCGTTCATGAAAAACGCATCCTTAATGAATCGGACGGCAGCCTTAAAACTCTGAAACAGAGGACAAAATGTAACTTTCACAAAGAGAGGTGGATAACAGGAAAAAAGGGCATCCTATATGAAACAAAATGCTTAAAGCCACCTGCTCCTGTCGTTTGAGAGAATAGAGCTCAAGTTTCATAAACATAATAATCTCGACCAAAGATGACACTTTCGCTTTGTCAGCCATGAATTTACGTAAAAGCTGTGGATAATTCTTCATCATCGCAACCGTTATGTCTTTCCGGTTGTTTTCAAACATTTCCTGTTGTTCACAACATTAAAACTCCAATGTCATTATTTTCCTAATTAAATGAAAACGAGTGTA